AGAGAGAGAGAGAGAGAGAGAGAGAGAGAGAGAGAGAGAGAGAGAGAGAGAGAGAGAGAGAGAGAGCAATGTGTGTTCCTGGAGGCATTGTTTCAGATAATGAATCCCAATAGATTCCAACAGACGGCACTCTCAGAACAAGAGGTATGCAGTCAGGCTACTTCATTGTTTGAAATTCATTTACGTCCTTCTTAGGCATTTACGTCCTTCTTAGGACGTAATTTTTTGTTATTTGAAGCCCCACTCTGGCTTTTGCCAGGGGCCGCAATATAGGCAGGTCATTATTATGGCCAAATGTCTGAACGCGGTTTCTGGGACCTCTCCACGGTGATCCTCATCCGCATGGTGGCACTTTGTGTCATCGGGTGTTTATCGCTTGTGTGATGTCCTGGTGGGGTAGAAAGTCAGTCAGTCAGTCAGGCTACTTCAGTACCAGAAGGACTCTTTAAGTCTTATGGGTGATCATTTCGGAACATTTCAAATTCAAAAACTGTTTTTAGTACTTTTTGGCAAAATTAAAATACTCAAAATTTTAAAACAATATATGGTGGTCCAAAGGACTTTGTGTATGGAAGCTCGCTATCCTTCGAGATACGCCTAGCCAGATCAAAGGGAGACAGAACAAACAGGAAACACCAAGTAGGAAGAAGGAAGACATGCACCAGTGACAACAGGAAGAGCGGTTTCATTCGGATGGAAGCATCAAGCCCAGAAACTGCACAAACACTAGTATTCAGTCAAGAAAGTGACGCAAATAACCCGACCACAAATATAGGCGGAGACTGCTAGCAGCAGTCTGAACGTTGTCGAGCTTTTCTTTTTTTTCCCTCAAAAGGACCTGGACTTGGACATGGGTGATGAAAACCTCCTTTGATCGCATCAACACTGAAAGATTCCTTTTCAAGGCTACATTGTGGCGAGCAATGTAACACCATGTTAAATAGCGCAAATAACCAGTCACAATGATATCCTAAAGCTTCACCTTCAAGGACGCTAGCTGAACGTGACGATTTTTGTTTTCTTTAAAACGCATCGGAAGCGGTAATATCTCCAGTGACTCACTCACCCACATCAGACTGCAGGTGACTTGGTTACTGTGGGGGCTGTCCTAATATAACTAACTGTTCATGTAAAAATGTCATGTGTCAGGGTATACAGGTATCTCAGGTAGAACCAGGACTAGTCATGAGATCCATGCACGGATTAAGCTCAGTTCACCCTGTGATCACTGCACTCTGGGCACGTCCATGAGTGCTCCAATCTCCTCTGAAGTAAATCCACGAGCGCAGATACGCCAACAGAGCCGTCCAGAGTTGTCTGGGGAGCCACTTGGTGTGGAGAGACTAAAAAAACACACCTGGGTTTCACAGTACGGTTACATTCTCGGGATACGCTGCCCCGACCACTTTAACCAGTTTTTCTTTGCACAGACAAACATACGAAACCGCGAGCGAATTATATGGAGCCCCTGATGAACCACAAACCTCCATGGACTGGTTGACTTTGAGGGTCGCCCACAGACTCTAGGATACTTAACCTTTCTTGGACACGACGGACTTCAGCCTACTAGGCCCCACGACGTTACAACCCTCACCAACTATTGTCCTAATTATATCAGGGAGGGTGTGACAGGGCGATCATGTCCCCTCTGAGCTCGAACAGAAGGCGAGGGTTCAAAATCCCAGGTGGACGTTAGAATTTCGATCCCAACTAATTAGGAAACAATTCCTTGCACAATGGCAGACCGACTTTCAACTTTGGCAGCTCAAAATCTTCACGGTAGCCCAGCAATGGTAGAGATACGACCACGATAAACCTTGATACCCCCCTCCAACCCCCTAAAAAAATTACAGTGGTTCCTGGACGACCTAACGCTAAATGGGCACCCTGTTAAGTCCTGGGAAGCAAAGGCGGCTGGGGCAATGTTAACCCTATCACACAGTGAGTGCCGATTGCTCCTTAAAATATAGGTCTAGCCCTATATGCCCAATGAATCTAAAGGCGGGCAAAAGGATCTTTTACTTTCTAATGTATTATTATTATTATTATTATTTTATTATTATACACAAGTGCTATAAAAGTATGCAAGCGGACAGTGACAGATGTTAGACTAGCCAGAGTTAGGGGACCTGGGCAGTTGCAGAAACAAAAGCATCTGTGAATATCATGGTGGTGGGCACATGGACAGGGTCGTGCTGACCGCCACGTGGTTGTTGGGTCACTGGTCACTTCCGTGACCACTTCCTGTAGCAACCTATTGGCATCTGCTGTTCAACATGGCGGCTACAGGGGCCAGAGTTGAAAACCAGTGACAATAGGGCTCGTGAACTATTGACACAAGGGCCCCTAAATTTGGAGGCCCCCTCCGCCCCTCCAGCTCCATATACAGAGATAACTGAGCCACCAACAATTTGCAAGGGGCTAAGTTGCTTACTCTGCACTAGACCGTGAATACAAAACTTCTTGTGAAGTGTTTGTTTAGCATGTCAAATTATTTGAAATATATTATTAGATTGATTTACCATTCAGTAAATTATTATTATTATTTGCTCAAACAATGTCTACATTTTTGGGGACTATCTCTGGTGACTGCGTGTCTGATGACTATTTGGCGACTTTATGTTTGGTGACTATGTATCCGTCGACTATACGTCCACTAACAATGTGTCCACTGACTATGTGCCCACTGACTATGTGCCCACTGACTATGTGCCCACTGACTATGTGCTCACTGACTATGTGCCCACTGACTATGGTGCCCACTTTCTATGTGCCCACTGACTATGTGCCCACTGACTATGTGTCCACTGAATATGTGTCCAATGACTATGTGCCCACTGACTAAGTGTTCACTGACTATATGTCCACTGACTATGTGTCCACTGACTATGTGCCCACTGACTATGTGCCCACTGACTATGTGTCCACTAAAAATGTGCCCACTGACTATGTGCCCACAGACTATGTGTCCACTGACTATGTGTCTACTGACTATGTGCCCACTGACTAAGTGTTCACTGACCATGTGTCCACTGACTATGTGCCCACTGACTATGTGCCCACTAACTATGTGTCCACTGACTATGTGTCCACTGGCTATGTGTCCACTGACTATGTGCCACTGACTATGTGCCCACCGTCTATGTGCCCACCGTATATGTGCCCATTGACTATGTGCCCACTGACTATGTGTTCACTGACTATGTGAACGCTGACTATGTGCCCGCTGACTAAGTGTTCACTGACTATGTGCCCACTGACTATGTGCCCACTGACTATGTGTCTATTGACTATGTGTTCACTGACTATGTGCCCACTGACTAAGTGTTCACTGACTATGTGCCCACTGACTATGTGCCCACTGACTATGTGTCCACTGACTATGTGTCCACTGACTATGTGTCCACTAGCTATGTGCCCACTGACTATGTGACCACTGACTATGTGCCCACTGACTATGTGCCCACTGTCTATGTACCCACTGACTATGTGCCCACTGACTATGTGCCCACTGACTATATGCCAACTGACTATGTGCCCACTGACTATGTGCACACTGAAAAAGTATTCACTGACTATGTGCCCACTCACTATGTGTCAACTGACTATGTGTCAACTGACTATGTGTCCACTGACTATGTGTCCACTGACTATGTGTCAACTGACTATGTGTCCAGTGACTATGTGTCCACTAACTATGTGTCCAGTTACTATGTGTCAGCTGACTATGTGTCAGCTGACTATGTGTCCACTGACAATGTGTCCACTGACTATGTGTCAACTGGCTGTGTGCCCACTGACTCTGTGTCCATTGGCTGTGTGTCCACTGACTATGTGTCCAGTTACTATGTGTTTACTGACTATGTGTCCCGTGACTATGTGCCCACTGACTATGTGCCCACTAACTATGTGTCCACTGACTATGTGTCCACTGGCTATGTGTCCACTGACTATGTGCCACTGACTATGTGCCCACTGACTATGTGCCCAGTGACTATGTGCCCACCGTCTATGTGCCCACCGTATATGTGCCCACTGACTATGTGCCCACTGACTATGTGTTCACTGACTATGTGAACGCTGACTATGTGCCCGCTGACTAAGTGTTCACTGACTATGTGTCCACTAGCTATGTGCCCACTGACTATGTGCCCACTGACTATGTGCCCACTGACTATGTGCCCACTGTCTATGTACCCACTGACTATGTGCCCCCTGACTATATGCCAACTGACTATGTGCCCACTGACTATGTGCCCACTGACTATGTGCCCACTGACTATGTGTCCAGTGACTATGTGCCCACTCACTATGTGTCCACTGACTATGTGTCCAGTGACTATGTGCCCACTGACTATGTGCCCACTGACTATGTGCCCACTGACTTTGTGTCCACTGACTATGTGTCCAGTGACTATATGCCCACTCACTTTGTGCCCACTGACTATGTGCCTACTGACTATGTGTCCACTGACTATGTGTCCAGTGGCTATGTGCCCACTGACTATGTGCCTACTGACTATGTACCACTGACTATGTGCCCACTGACTATACGCCCACTGACTATGTGCCTACTGACTATGTGTCCACTGACTATGTGCCCACTAACTATGTGCCCACTGACTATGTGCCCACTGACTATGTGTCTATTGGCTGTGTGTCGACTGGCGATATGTCCACTGGCTATGAGTCTGGTGACTATGTATGGACTGACTATGTGTCCATTGACTATGTGTCCAGTAACTAAGTGTTTAATGTCTATGTGACTATCATTCCAAAGTTTATACTGCGTTAATAATTTAAAATTTATTTTTTCATTTAAAAAAAAAAAACACCAGAATACTAAATACATTCCAAAACAAATATCGTATTGTCTACCCCTAGTGGAAAACACGCCCCTGATAATGTCCCGAGACCACGTGGCCACAGACCCTGTCCACTGAATATTAAATACCGGCTGCCGCCCATACCAGCATCATCATCATCATGTGCCACGCGACCTGGCTGTCGCTTCTCACAGCGAGCTCCCTCGTAGTCAGCTCGGCACCTGTTCAGTAACCCAAGCCAAAATCAGCAAGCAAACAAAACATTTGTATCTCCTACATGTGGTCAAATATCTGGCAAACACAGCATATATACCTGTATACTAACTGAATGCTTGTGTTTCTGCCGTCTCCACAGCGAGGGTTGGCTGTAGAGGATATATGTCTTCAGTGCAGTCATTACGAGCAACAAGCGGTACAGCATAATCTCTTCCCTGGTGCGACTCTTGTACTATTATCCGAAATCCATGATAATGGCAGTTATCTTAACCGCTCGCTGGCGAACCGTGACACCTCATCGGGGATTATGAACCATGTTGAATAACCTCTAAGCCCACAAATATCGGTCAGAATTCTAGTCAAATGACAAGGCTACCGGTCAAGACTGAAGACAAAAGGGCCTGATGACAGAGGACCTCCTTGGCCTTTCTTCAGCCTTGGGCTGCAGGATGTCAACAAGGGAATGCATATCCTGTGCTGTTGTCATGGTATCGCGGAGAATCGAGCAGCGGAACCAATCAGGGCTCATGTAGAAACTAAAGCCAGGCACAGTATCGGGAGTAGATACACAGAATTAACAGACGGACTAACGGAAAAGATTTGTACAGGCCTTGAAACTCGGCACGATAGATGGATAAATGACAGCCGTCTTGGCTTTGTTGCAATAGTTGTTGCGTATATGTGCGTTTGGATCAGTGTGTGGAGCAGACAAGTTCCTCAAAATTAGGAGAAACTACAAATTACTTTAATTTCCTGCTAAGTTTCTGTTACTATTGTAGATTAATTATACATGACCTGAATTGTTACTATTGTTGATGAATTATACATTACCTGAATTTTCCCGTAAAACTATTGATACCTGTCTCAAAATATACTGACACTTTTAGCTGTCTGGCTTCAGACAGCAAAAATTGGTCAGTACCTAGGTGTTATATTAGAAAAGACTTTTCTTATTAAGAAACAAACTATTAATTTATTAAGGTAACAATGCGCACCTCAAAAGGAGGTTCAACATAAAAGCAACAAGCCAACCGAAATGGATAAACCCTGGCTTAAGTGAAAACATTCTAGAGTCTAGTGTGACGCTCTAAGTGGTCGCCATGTGTGTTAGTCAAGGTAAGCAATTAGACATGCGCAGCCACTGAGGTTCATTCCGAAACGGGCATTCTTAAATGTGGAGAACTGTAGAGCTGTTGCATTACCGACTGGATCAATGAGGCCGTGTCCCGTGCCCTCCTCGCATCGCTTGCCCCTGTACTCGACGGTGCATCTGAATAGTGGCAATGGTGTTGTTATCATTGGATGCACAGTAGCAACAGATGGTTTTATCATTTGATGAATAGTAGCAATAGATAGTTTTATCATTTGATGAATAGTAGCAACAGATAGTTTTATCATTTGATGAATAGTAGCAATAGATAGTTTTATCATTTGATGAATAGTAGCAATAGATAGTTTTATCATTTGATGAATAGTAGCAATAATGTTATTATTTCATGACCAATAGCAATGATGACACACACTTTTTTCCTCTTCTTCTCCTTCTGCTGCTGCTTCTTCTTCTCATTCTCCTCTTCCTTCTTGTTTTCTTCTTCTTCTTCTTCTTCTTCTTCTTCTTCTTCTTCTTCTTCTTCTTCTTCTTCTTCTTCTTCTTCTTCTTCTTCTTCTTCTTCTTCTTCTTCTTCTTCTTCTTCTTCTTCTTCTTCTTCTCCTTCTCCTTCTTCTTCTTCTACTTCTTCTTCTCCTTCCTCTTCTTCTTCTTCTTCTTCTTCTTCTTCTTCTTCTTCTTCTTCTTCTTCTTCTTCTTCTTCTTCTTCTTCATCATCATCTTCTTCTTCTTCGTCCACTTACAAAACAGTGTTTAGCATGTTGTCTTTAGTTTATACTTGATGACATTAGGACCTCTTAGCCAGACACATCTGATTTCATCGCTTAATCAGTCGTCTTGTACCATATGACTCTTCAAAGGCACAAACCCTTTCTTGTTTTCTCCTTCTTCCACTCTTTTTTTTTTTAACCCCACCATAGGGCTCAGAAACCTACACGGGGATGGGAAATGGTTCGATTCCACAATATCAGTATCTCTTGGCTGCTTGCAAACATTTCCCCTGATGTGTGTCTCTGAAATGGTTCGATTCTACAATATCAGTATCTCTTGGCTGCTTGCAAACATTTCCGATGTGTGTGTCTATGTGAAATGATTCGATTCTATAATATCAGTATCTCTTGGCTGCTTGCAAATATCTCCCATGTGTGTGTGCATGTGAAATGGTTCGATTCTTCAATATCAGTATCTCCTGACTGCTTGCAAACACTTCCCATGTGTGTGTCTATATGTATGTTCTGCACTTACTGTTGGTTGAACTACCGCTCTGACCAAAATCTGCTTTATTGCTTTTATTCTCAAGTTTTCCATTTAGATAAAATCTCTTCTCGGTGTAGTTCAGGTCCTCGCCATTCATTTTTGTGAACGTTATTACCATTTTATATCTCTGCACTTTGGTCGGATCAGATATAATCTTTCATTTGTAACACACAGACAACTATTTTGACACAAAGAACTCCAGTTTTGGCACAGCTTCCACATAAGAGCATTTCTTTCTTGGCATCATGGTTGCTGAATCAATTTTCTCTAGAAAACACATGTGTGGTTGCCAGTTGTTTTCTGAGCTTATGCAGTCTACTTGTGGTTTTGATCTTGCCCCTTCTTTAAACCAGTGTACTACCTATTCTTCCTGATTGTATGAGGCATGTTAGTACGTTAAAGATGTTCCTAGATTAGGTATACAGTTCATCTACCACCATGCTTAAGCCCCATATATCACACACGTTTACACGGATCACCCACAGAGGTGATTGCAGGGATCACCCACATAGGTGACTGCACGGATCAGCCACAGAGGTGATTTCACGGATCACCCATAAAGGTGATTGCATGGACCCTCCATCTCGGCTGTTGCCACCAACTGCTTCTAGGGGCTCCAAGGTCTCCACGTGCACTTCTCGGTGGCTCCACGCCTGCTCCAGTAGAAAATTCAAAACTGAATGAAATTACAAATTAAGAAAGAGAAACAGTATCTGTTGCCACCAGCTCCAAAATTACTGACAAACAACGAAAGTGAAAGCCATAAAATTGGCAACCTCTCACAGCTGGAAGTGAAGAATATAAAACAATTAATCTGAGAATCAACACGGACAAAACAGAAGTAATATCAAGAGGAAGAATGAAGCAGAACCTAAATAAAGGGAAAACAGAAATAAATATAGGGAAACCAGAAAATAAATATAGGGAAACCAGAAAATAAATATAGTGAAAACAGAAAATAAATATAGGGAAAACCAAATATATATATATAGGGAATACAGTTGATTTCCCTCTTGCAGCAAAATGTTTAGACTAGGGCCATTGTCTTCGAAGCCTTTCTGTCTCAATCTCCTCCAGCGTGTTGATATAATGAGTTAGACCAGTACCTGGGAGTTCGAACTAACGTAATATCATTCAGAAGATAACCATTGAGCTATACACATCTGTAACAGAGACAATGGGAAGACAAGGAGAAGAAGAAAGACGAAAAGACTTACTCGCAGATGTCCACCTCCAAGGCAGGGATGTGGAAGCAGCTGCCGCCGTTGAGACAGTAGGTGTGTCTCTCACAAGGCACTTTGTGTGGGTAGGTGACTGCAGAGGAACAAGAATATCAACTGTCAGCAGGCAATCATCAAAGCTTTAGCAGCGACAGTTCACGCATGTTATTTTTAGCAGTAGTAGCAGCAGTAGTAGCAGCAGTAGTAGTAGCAGCAGCAGTAGTAGTAGCAGCAGTAGTAGTAGCAGCAGCAGTAGTACTAGTAGTAGTAGCAGCAGCAGCAGCATTAGTAGTAGTAGCACCAGCAGCAGCAGCATTTGTACTAGTAGTAGTAGCAGCAGCAGTAGTACTAGTAGTAGTAGCAGCAGCAGCAGCATTAGTAGTAGTAGCACCAGCAGCAGCAGCATTTGTACTAGTAGTAGTAGCAGCAGCAGCATTAGTAGTAGTAACAGCAGCAGTAGTAGTAGTAGCAGCAGCAGCAGTAGTAGTAGTAAAAATCGTAGCAGCTGTCGGGACTGGTGTGTTAGAGGTTGTGGTGGTGGTAGTGGAAGTAACAGTAGCAATGGCACCAGTAACCATGGTGATGGTGACAGTCAGAGAAGTATTGACAAATCGAGCACTATTTAATAGTGATAGTATTATTTAATAGTAAACAAAGTAGCAGTCGTTTAGACTGTGGTGGTTGCTGAGGTACTGGTATTCGTGGTGGTGGTGATGGTGGTGGTGGTGGTGGTGGTGATGGTGGTGATGATGGTGATGGTGGTGGTGATGGTGGTGGTGATGGAGGTGGTGATGGTGGTGGTGATGGTGGTGGTGATGATGATGGTAGTGGTGATGGTGGTGGTGATGGTAGTGGTGATGATAGTGGTGATGGTGATGATGATGGTAGTGGTGGTGGTGATGGGGATGGTGGTGGTGATGGTGGTGTTGATGGTAGTGGTGATGGTAGTGTTGATGGTAGTATTGGTGGTGGTTTTGGTGATGGTGGTGGTGATGGTAGTGGTGATGGTAGTGGTGATGATGGTGATAGTGGTGGTGGTGATAATGGAAGTAGTGGTGGTGATGATGGTAATAGTAGTAGAAGCAGCGATAGTAGTCAGAGAGCAGTTCCAGTAGCAGCCCCTGAGTGCCGACTGGTCTACAAAATATAGGTCTAGCCCTATATGCCCAATACATCTGAAGGCATGGAAATGGGTCCTTAAGTGTACTACTACATTTGCTGCTGCTGAAGTGGTAGTAGTAACAGCAGCAGCAACAACAACAGCAGCAACAGTAGTAGATGTAGTGTTTGAGCAGTAAATACTACGAAAGAGCTTTGCAACAGAAACAGCCAGCAGCAAATAACTGAAATGGCACAGTAATTCTAGATCCGAGGTAACCGTTGCCGCATCGACAACATCATCGCCAACCATTACTTGTATACACTTGTCTGCTCTTTCTCTGAATGGCCACATAAATCATTCAAGTCGTGTACAAAAATGTCTTAAGCTTAAGAAAAAACATACAAGCATACGCGCGCACACAGACACAAACCCCCAGGGTAAAAACCCACGAGATATCGCCAAAGATACTGCACGTGTTGGAAGGTGAAGAAACCAGCTGAAAGAAGTCAAGAAAGGTTCAAAGAGTCTCCCTTCCAACTGATATTAACCCCATCAATAAGGGAAGAATGATGAACAGTTCATCTGTTGGTGTGTTCTGAAGATATGTTCACTGATGGTGTAATTCTAAATGTAAATGTATTTATATGCGCCGATTTCCCCGCCGCTGACTTGACCTGGCTAGCTGTTTTGTCAATTTGATAATCAAATCATATTAAAAAGTTATGAAGATGAAGATAGCGAGAAGAATAGGTGGGTATCTTCGTTTGGATGTAGCCAAATCCTTTCTGGCAGCTGACAGCAGAAGACATCCATACACAGATCTAGCGTACACATATATGGGATTGGACAAGGAGTGGGGTAGGGCTGTGGTTACACAGGAAAGAGAATGGGAGAGACAGAAAACTGGGTGGACAGGAAAAAAAAAAAAAAAGAGCAGTAGAGACAGATAATAGGCGTCATAATGGCTCAATGGGGAGACTTATGTATTTGACTGGAATATACACATGTGTAATCAATCGCGCGCGCACACTTACGTGGATATAAATAAACGCACAGACATACACAGACTTAGGCAAACAGACTCACACACACACACATACGGGCAGGCGCACACACAAATAGGCTTACACACACAAACAGGCTTACACACATAAAACAGTCTTACACACACAAACATGCATGCGTACACACAAACAGGCTTACACGCACACAAACAGGCCTGCACACACACACACACAGGCACACACATACAACCAGACATACACACAACCACAAACAGGCATGCGCACACACACACACAGGCACACACACACAACCAGACATACACACAACCACAAACAGGCATGCGCAGACACAATCTGTCAACCAATCAACTAATAAACAAATGCACAGAAAACTTTCAGCAAGAAAAAGTTCCAGTATCTAGGCAACATAATATCAGCCAATGGAAACATGAAAGCAGGGATAGAATATAGATGAAATAAACCAATCAAATCATCGGACTGATGTCATCAATACAGAAGAGAGTAGGGAAGAGGCGGGGAGTGAGGGGGGGGGGGGCGGGGGCATGCACATTTTGAACAAACGTGGATATATTAAGAGCAAAATAGAAATAAAAAATTTAAAAATCGCAACAACAAAAAACTTAATAGAATTTCTAGGATTCTTACAGAAAACAAAAAACGGCAGGATTAGAAATGACAGTATCAGGAAACTAGCTGGGCCCGAACCAGTACTAACTTACACCAGACAACAGATGAAATGTTTCGGACCTGTGCCACAACTACCACACGACAGTGCACCATTGAGACCCCTATCGCTTGACATAACATAACCTTTGATCCATTAGGGTCCTGGAAGTGTACTGGCGGAAGCGCTAGCACATAAAACCCGCTATCTCTTTCTTTTGCTTGATGAAAAAGTGTATGATAACTTAGTCCTGTCCATTTCTTGATGTTGTAATTCCAGGTTCTTCTTTGCCCTTCTCTTCTTAGACTATCCCCAACCCGCCCCCTCCCCCCCCCCCCCCACCGCCACCCCCTTTGATGTTTCTTGAAGCACAGTCTTTGCAATCGAATCATATCTCACAACGTGCCCCAACCAAGCTAGCTTGCGACGTTTCACCATCGCCAAGAGAGACTCCTGATGTCCTGCAAATTCGTACTCAGACACAATTGAAGGAGAACTAGAGGTCGACCACTCATGAGATGGATATACGGAATATCCAAGGACGCAAATACCAGCTTCTAAGGAGCACATGCCGGGGCTCGCAGTGAATGTCTCTTTAAAACTTGGTGCTATGGGGCAGAACATGACTAGAGAAGGAAGAAGAAGAAGAAGAAGAAGAAGAAGAAGAAGAAGAAGAAGAAGAAGAAGAAGAAGAAGAAGAAGAAGAAGAAGAAGAAGAAGAAGAAGAAGAAGAAGAAGAAGAAGAAGAACAACAACAACAACAACAACAACAACAACAACAACAACAAGAACAACAACAAGAAAAAAAGGAGGAGGAGGAAGAGGAGGGAGAGGATAAGAAGAGGTAGAGAAAGATAGATCAAATCAGACGAAAATTGACAGAAAAACACATAAATGTATTAATGCATGCCGACTACAACAAAAACAACAACAACAACAAAATAAATAAACATACACATTCATATACTGACAAACAGATAAGATAGAGATACAATCAGACACAAACAGACATCCACAGACATTCAAAAGCGCAAAACATCATACACAGACGCATGTAGATACACACAAACCCAGACAGAACACACATAAAGACACACACTCACACCGAGCTCCAAATAGACATAAACAGAAATAGACAGATATAAATAGAAACAAACATATATATTTAAACACAAACACCCGAACACACACACAGACAGACACACAAACACCTACTTGGTCTTATCTGTGTGGGGAGGGAGTGCACTGAAAGTAAGAGAGATTGGAACTCATGAATACCGGACTTGTGGCAAACACACACAACGGTAAACACACAGACATACACGGTAACGTGTCATCAACACACACAATGTAACACATATAGAGTCTCACTGTCGTGCTTATATAATACACAGACACGCCTGCGCACAGACTCACACTTTGTGAGTTACTCGACTGTGGTCAGTGTAGATGACCAAACAGAAACATCAGATGCAAAATTAGCAGTCAGGACGGTCCCCTCAGTCAGTGTATACTTTAAGGAGATATGTGTCCCTCACATTTATTATTTGTTGCAAGAATACTGCCCCATCATCTGCCTTTCATGCGTATAATTTTCCGACACAGAATAAGTTCATCACTTAAGAGCTCAGTTAAAAGTTGACCAAGAGCAGACGATGAAGAAAAAGAAGGAGGAAGAGAATGAAGAAGAAGAAGGAAGAGAATGAAGAAGAAGAAGGATGATAAGGAAGAGGAAGAAGGAGGAGAAGGAGAAAGAAAGAGAAAGAGGAATATGAAGGAGGAAGCGGAAGAAGAAGGAGGAGGAAGAAGAAGAGGAAGGAAGAGGAAGAGGAAGAAGAAGGAGGAGGAGGAAGAAAAGAGAGAGGAAGAGGAATAAGAAAGAGGAGGAAGATGAAGAAGAAGGAGGAAGAGGAAGAGAAAGAAAAAGAGGAAGAAGGAGGAGGAAGAAGAAGAATGAGGAAGAGGAAGAAGAAGGAGGAAGGGGAAGAAGAAGGAGGAAGAGGAAGAAGAAAGAGGAGGAAGAAGAAGAAGAAGGAAGAGGAAGAAGAACGAGGAAGAGGAAGGAGGCGATAAAGCAGGGAAGGACAAGCCATGGGAAATACATTAATGAATGTTTAGACAGATTAACTCGAGCTTTCACTAAGACTGACAAGACGATCTTTCCCATTGTTTATCCCCTATTGTCTCTGACGGCCACCAACCGCCCTCTAGTGCAGCAACTTCTACAAGAAGCTTTACTCCCTTGACAACCCAGCGTGGTCTCCTGAACCACAAACACAACTTCATCAACAGCACTAAACCAA